TCTTGGTCCAGGTTTGGATAAATTAGCTCCCAAGTCTCATAAATGTGTTTTTCTGGGTTATCCTCGGTCTCAGAAGGGTTATCGTTGCTACTCTCCCACTTTATGTCGATATTTTATCTCGCGGATGTCTCCTTTTTTGAATCAGTTCCCTTTTTTGGATCATCTACTACTCCTGTGGATACTGATTCTGTACAGTCATCCCTCCCAGGTGACCTTCTTTACCTTCCGTCTTTACCCGTCCATGTTTCTGACTCTCCTTTTATCACCTCTTCTGCTGATGAGATCGAGCATAGTTCGTCAGATGTCTCTGTGGACTCACATTCAACTGCATCTCCTCCCACGGCTTCGGTCCCACCTTCGGATAGTGACCTTCCCATTGCTCTTCGTAAGGGTACTCGTGATACTCGCCCTCCGGCCAGGTATACAGTCAATATTAGTTACCATCGTCTTTCTCCATCATACTTTGCTTGCCTTTCCTCTTTGTCCTCTGATCTGTTCCTAAGACTACATGTGATGCACTTTCACATTCGGGATGGAGACAAGCTATGATTAATGAAATGAGTGCTCTTCATTATAATGACACGTGGGATCTGGTGCCTCTTCCTTCTGGAAAATCTGTGGTTGGTTGCAGATGGATTTATGCTGTTAAGGTTGGACCTGATGGTCAAGTGGATCGTCATAAAGCTCGCTTGGTGGCGAAAGGTTTCACTCAAGTCTTTGGCTTGGATTTTATTGATACTTTTTCTCCTGTGGCGAAAATGTCTACTGTTCGCCTTTTTATTGCCATGGCTGCTATTCGCCATTGGCCTCTCTACCAACTGGATATCAAGAATGCTTTTCTTCATGGTGATCTTGAGGAAGAAATTTATATGGAGCAACCTCCTGGATTTGTTGCTCAGGGGAGTCAGGTCTTGTTTGTCGTCTCCGTAAGTCTCTCTATGGCCTCAAACAATCTCCACGAGCTTGGTTTGGTAAATTTAGCAGTGTTGTTCAACTTTTTGGCATGACTCGGAGTGCAGCTGATCATTCTCTCTTTTATCATCATTCTGCTTCTGGATCTATTTATCTGGTGGTATATGTGGATGATATTGTCATCACAAGCAGTGATTGGCATGGGATCACTCGATTGAAACAACATTTATGTCATCATTTTCAGACTAAGGATCTTAGGAAACTTCGATACTTCTTGGGAATCGAGGTGGCCCAATCTAAAACTGGTGTTGTGATATCTCAGAGAAAATATGCTCTGGATATCCTTGAATAAACTGCTCTGTTGAATTCAAAGTCTGTTGATACTCCTATGGATCCAAGTATCAAGTTTCTACCAAATCAGGGGGAGCCCTTTTCAGATCCTGAACAGTATAGAAGATTGGTTGGAAAATTGAACTACCTCACTGTCACTCGGCTTGATATTTCCTTTGCAGTGAGTGTTGTCAGTCAATTTCTCAATTCTCCATGTCAAGAACATTGGAATGCAGTCATTCGTATTCTTAAGTACATCAAGGCATCTCTAGGAAAAGGCCTTGAATATGAAGATAAAGGTCATGATAAAGTTGTTGGGTACTGTGATGTTGATTGGGCTGGTTGTCCAGCTGATAGGAGATCTACTTCTGGGTATTGTGTCTTTGTTGGAGGCAACTTGATTTCCTGGAAAAGTAAGAAACAAAGCGTGGTTGCCAGATCAAGTGCTGAAGCAGAATACCGCTCCATGGCGACTACTACTTGCGAGCTCATCTGGCTTAAACAGCTTCTCAGAGAGCTTAAGTTTGGAGACATTGGACAGACAACTCTAATTTGTGATAATCAAGCAGCTCTGCACATTTAATCAAATCCAGTGTTTCATGAAAGAACCAAGCATATAGAAATAGATTGTCACTTTGTTCGAGAAAAGATTCTTGCTGTGAAATTAAAACTAGTTTTGTACCCTCTAATGAGCAATTAGCAGATGTGTTTACAAAATCTTTGAGGGGTCCTCGAATAGAGTTTATATGTAACAAGCTTGGTGCTTATGACCTATACGATCCAGCTTGAGGGGGAGTGTTAGAATGTATTAAATATGATTAGATATGATTAGTCTGTAATTATGCTGATTGTATTAGTCTGTTATTATGATGATTGTAATTAGGTCTGGGCCTTTCACTTAAAGCCTATTAGAGTCTCTATAGATTGTAACTCTCTGAATTAGATCAATACACACAGAATATTATTTCAAATGTTCCTCTCTTCTCTCTCACTCTCAGAGCCTCGCCGCCCCCTATTTCTCTTGTGGCGTTTCTTAGCACAGGTAGGCTGGGCCTGTTGCATTGTCCACTCTTCAAGCCCAATGGGCTCTCGTGTGAGGGGGCGTGTTGAGATATATAGTCCCACATTGGTTGTATGTGCAACTAATGTGGAGTTTATAAGGTCTTGGGCACTCCCACCCTTTGAGCTAGCTTTTGGGGTGGTGTATCCCAAGGTTCTTAACAGTCCCCTCTGCATTCAAAGTGAGTTGGTAAATCTTCACTCTACAACTTGCCCTATCCACAGTTGTGATCAGGGAGTGGTGTGAACTATATAGGAAGATCTTGATCTTTCCAACTTGCAGGAGCATCAGAGCAAATAAGAGCAAAAAAATCAAGAATCATGTCTTCAACAAGTAAGTCTAAATCTTTTGATGTTCTAATTTCATATAATCTTATTTTGTGAAAACCCCTAACCAAAATAAATTCTTCGACATTCAATTGCCAACTGAATTAACTTTGAGGTTGGAAACTTATACTTTGCTTTAAGTCAAAAAAGAATTTCAAGGGAGGGCAGTATACGAGTAAACTTCTCTATCACAGATATATTCATTCAACAATATGTATGATACAAGCAAAGCAAATTAAAAATAAATAAATTAATTCACAAAAATCTCTTCTATGTGCATGAATGCATTTGTTGTGTAATGTGAGTATTAATGCTAGGACTCAACACATATGATTGAAAAAAGAAAAGAAAAAAAGATGTATGGTGCTCAATTTGTTACTAGATTGATAGAAAATGTCATTGTTATGGTTGTCCCCAAACCATATGCAGCTGACCACTACTACTTTTATAGTTTAAATTCAATGAATGCATGTGAGACATGTGCTCTATGAGGAGAAGAGAGTCCTTAACATGCATTGGATATTTGGGTGTCGTGAACGAAGATGAGGGAAACATACTATGGAAGGTTTACGTTTTGCTCAAACAAGCATGGAGAGAAAAATGTGGCCCTCAAATTTGCTCTCGTCATCCATGTTATGTTTCTGGGCCCACTTCACGCGTATGTATGTTTGAGTGGGTCATAATTAACTAGTTTAATATATTAACCTCACTCTCTTGTCTTTTAATGCAAGTAAATTTGATATTAGCTGGAAGAAAGAAAATCCTCTTATAAAAGATATAGAGAAATAGCTAGAGATGTTGATAAAGTTCCAAATCTTTCAATCCATGACATACAACATACATGCTGCTGGTTCTCTTTGTCTCCCTTTTCTTTATTTTATTCAAATAAGAAGAATTCTAAGTGGCAAGTTTAGCATATGAGATAGATTAGATGAGATGACCAAAATTAACCCTTCCACTCTATTCAACTAATGACACAAAGAAAGTTTGATTCAAAACACATAACAGGGTTCTTCTCAGCAACAAATGAAATATAAAAAAGGTAACATGCTGCTTCTTTTCAAAAGAAGTGAATTTTTTTTTATTTGAATAATTTTAAAATTCTTAATTTATTTGGTCTAAATGCACTTAAAAAAAAATTATTTCATAGGGTGTAAGATTTTTTATTTTATTTTTTTATGTGTTCAGCTCAATCTGTAGCATAGTAAATTAATTCTCTGGGCACGTAGGTGAACAGTAGCTACAATAAGAACATGGGCCATACCAACCAAAATCCTGATATACTCACGCGTACAAAGCCCCATACGCGTTTGTTTCCCTTTTTATCATCCTAAGCACTAAGCTGTATATTACCCACAAAATCAATCAAATGCAAAACAAAATTCTCAATTTCAAGCCAATTTGCTTATTAACTAGTAAAATTCAGTCACCTTGTTTGATAGAAGAGAAAAATATAATTGTTTATAGCTTTTTCCATGCAAGTACCGATACTTTATCTCCATGACTTGCACACTTCATTATATGCCCCCATCCCCACATAAAATAAAGAATAAAGGGTTAGTGATCTGATAATAGTGATAAAGATTTGATTGAATTGTTTGATATATTAAGTTAATTATGATGTTCAAAGAATTTTATTTTAACCCATGTGTGTTCCGACTTGGGATTGACCCAATTATAAAATGTATACATTAATAGTAACATATAGATGCAAAATGCAATGTCGTAAACAATATTTATTGATATTTGTTATGTGCCACTACTGATCATGACACCAACAATTTGAAACATCTGATCGCCATCTTGGTCCCCAAATGGTCCAGAGCAAGGTCTAAAATGTGATATTATCTGACAAATTTAACGAAGATGCTCTAATTAAAGTGCCTTTGTTTATTAAGGCAATTGGTGTTTTGTATTTTTGATAATGATATGTTCAAAGATATTATTGTTCAAACTTTACACCATATGAGACAACAGATCACCAGTCATTATCTAAAATTTGCTCCCTACTCACATGAGAAGAATCTATGATATATATTTTATATTTTCTATGAGTTAAAAAAAAAAAAAACCACATAAAAAATATATTTATGTACACTGTGTGTGTGTATCTATAAGTCAAAGTAACTGGCATCGAGTAAGACATGTGAATTGCTATAATCATGGCTTGCAAATTGCTATATAGCCAGTTATCGCTGATAGGGAAAGAAAAAGAAGGTTAGACCTCAAAATCCATGTGGGACCCCTATGCTTAACTGGGTGCCAGATTGTAGTTCAAAAACAGAGGATGTCTGTGAACAATCTCAACTACAAAAACCCACCCCCATCTTCCTCCTTCAATTAGTACCACTCGGCATTTTTCACAACAAAAAATAAACTTTCTGAAAAGAAAACGTTTTCTTTTCCCCAACATGGCCAGGCCTCAACAGCGTTACCGAGGTGTCCGACAAAGGCATTGGGGTTCTTGGGTCTCTGAGATTCGCCACCCTATATTGTAAGAGCACCTTAGCTTCCACACCACATTCTGTTTTTAGTTACATTAATTGAAAAAAGAAGAAGTTAATTTTGTATGCAGGATTGATCCCATTAGTTTGATTATATGTTTGAGGGAAAAGATATATTTATAAATTTTTTGTTTACAAACTTTTACAAATTATATTATGTCTGACTCGATCATACTTTAGTCAAGGATGTATAACCGGTCATACTTAGTGTAATTTATAAAAAAAAATTGTAAAGGGATGATTCTTCTATGTTTTATATATTTTAAAGTAAAATATTCTAATAATTATTTTTTAAAATTGTATTAGTAGAATTATTGAGGTTTATGTTTCCTGTAGGAAAACTAGGATATGGCTTGGTACTTTTGAGACAGCTGAGGATGCTGCTAGAGCCTATGATGAAGCAGCTAGACTAATGTGTGGTGTGAGGACGAGAACAAACTTCCCTTTCAACCCCAATGTGTCTTCTCAGTCATCATCATCTTCTTCAAAGCTTCTCTCAGCAACTTTGACTGCTAAACTTCACAAGTGCTATATTGCTTCTTTGCAAATGATTAGGCAAAAGTTACCAGAGCCTCAGAGAGTAGCTTCAGTTCCAAATGTCATCACCACCACAACCACCAGCAACTTCAATGTGAATAGTAGGGAAACTGATACTGTGTTGTCACATAAGAGACCAAAGCAGGAACAAGAACTAGAGGATAACATGGTGTTCAAGAAGGTTACATCTGTGGACAGTGCTCCTCAACAGTTCAAGCCTCTTGAAGAAGATCATATAGAGCAAATGATTGAGGAGCTTCTTGATTATGGGTCTATTGAGCTCTGTTGTCATTCTAATTCAGGGTCTTTAATTGATGCACAAGCAATGCCACAACACCCAAGATGTTAGACAAAACAATTGAGCATTCTTGTTGTTCACATTGTTCTTGGCAATGATGCTTAGTTATTCTGATAATTAACCCATTTTTATGAACATTACTAGCCTCTTTTTAGTGCTTTTAGCTCCTCGACTCAAGGTCCTAGATATATCTTCCACGTGACCCGTTAGACAATGCTATGTAATTATGTACGGCCCAATGATGTTGTAATCTTTGAAATTATTTGTGTTTTCTGGCCTTATTCTGAGATCATGACCTCGTCCATTAGCGTTTGTGATTGCAGAATTAGTCTTTTGTCTAGAACGGGAGGGAAGGATTGTCAAAGGGGCACGGCTTTTTAGAAAATTGGCTAGAACCCTTTATTTCAAAGACTGTAGAATTTCATGCACTGACACTGCTCTTAATTCTAAGTAATTTGAGGCCAGTATAAAAAATATGAATATTTTATGTTAGAGATAGTTTTCTTATAGCGTGAGATATTGAAAATTGTGTTGTTCTTTTTGTTTTTTCTTCTTTTAATAAGTGGTGGACCCACCACTTATTATATCTATGACATGAGAGATGATATTTCATGTAACATAAGAAAAGAGAAACTCTTTATGTTATGACCGGGTTAAGCTCATTCAAATTAATGAAAAGACCTCTAAAAAAGAAAAAAGAAAAAAAGCAATTTATCATGCGTTGTCATGGTTATACAAATAGTCCGTGCTAGTTGTTGGATATTTATTTAAATTTTTTTACTCTTAAATAATGTAAACATGCATTTTAGTCCGTGCTTTCCTAATTAAACAACTAATGGTACAAAAATTATTCTATAATTCAACCAATTGTGTCTCCTTATACATCGAAGATAACCTTAATCTCATTTCATAATCTCCATATATTTGAAGTCTCTGTTTTACCATGACCCCATGACTAAAGTAACTGCTAGTCGTGGAGATTCTTCCATACTAAATATTCTAATGCTTTCTTAGTTTCTTTGACTTAGTAACGCCAGTAAAACCATGCTACATTTTTTATTTGGAAAACTTCAAAAAAAATTCTATGAGTTTTTTTAATTATCACTTATTCCTCACAAATTTTTTGAATTATTTATATCATTATTTAAATTTTTTTATCACTTATTCTCCTGACTTAAAGTTTCTTTATTATTTACCCCTTATTTAAGGGGTAAATGATAAAAAAAAGCTACTAAAATTTTTATTTATGAAAAAAGACCACTAAACCAAAAAAATAAAAAAATAAAGAGTAAACATCTTTTTTAGTCCCTGACAATATCTACGAAGTCCTTTTCAGTCCCTGGCAATAAAAAAGAACCAAATTGGTCCCTGAAAGTACAAGAAAAGGGTCACTCTACATATTTGGGAGTTGACATAAGGACTAACATGACCCTCTTTTTGTAATTTCAGGGACCAATTTGATCCTTTTTTATTGCTAGGGACTAAAAATGACTTCGTAAATATTGAGAGAGACTAAAAAAAGTGTTTACTCAAAAATAAATATGAAGCGGAAGCATAATAAATTTTTTCCTTAATTAGACCTTGTGTTTCGCGCCCTTACTCTGTAGCAGAACATCTAACAATAGGATTTAATAATGTTGATGCCCGTAGCAATTTTTTAAATTATTATTCGGAAAGAATTATATTTATAAATTTTTTATTTACAAGCTACATTATGTTCTTTCGGAAAAACATTATGTTATATTATGTTCATCCGAGAGTATATAGTGTAATTTGGAAAAATTATAACAAAAATTTTTTAAACTAATTCTTCCCCTTATTATTCAGTCATATATTGTTAAATTATTAGAAAGTTTGAGGATGAGAACTATTATACACGAAGTCTAATTTTTTTTTTTTTATAATTTGTGAAAACATCATTAAATAATTGGGTAAAGGATTTGTTCGATCAATGGAGATAAATTATTTTCAGTGGATTCAAAACGACGTCATTTTGGGAATAAAATCAAGATATTTTTATAATTTTAATATATTGCAGGGTTATATGAGTCTTTATCAGTATAATTTTTTAAGGGTTCGGCTTTTTCTGCAGTTACTGCAGATAAGTTATCTGTAGTAAGTCCAATACGACGTCGTTTTGGGGTGAAAATCATGGTGTTTTTATAATTTTAATTTATTTCAGGATTGTTATAGTCTTTATAATTATAATTTTTAATATGTTAATCTCAAAATGACGTCGTTTTGGAAATAAACGCAGATAACTTATCTGCAATAACTGCAGAAATATTTTTCTATGTTAATCTCAAAATGACGTCGTTTTGGAAATAAACGCAGATAACTTATCTGCAATAACTGCAGAAATATTTTTCTGATTTTTTAATCTTATAATCCAAAACGATGTCATTTTAAGCTCATTGGAAATAACTTTATTTCAATCACCGGAGAAATACTTTTATCTAAATAATTATATAAAAAAGAATAAGTCACTGTTTTGGTACTTGAAAGGTTGGATAGAGATCAATTTAAGGTGTGTTTGTTTTAAATATTGTAAGGTCTAAAATCCCATTTTTTGCAGATAAAATTGATTTGGCCAGTATCAATATGTTTAGCTGCAAATTTTCATGGGGTTTAAAATCAATTATGGACTGTAGACTAGAATTAATATAAATAGAAATTTTTAGCTTTTCCATTTAAAAGAATCGATTTCAGTTGTAAGATCTACATAATTTTACATTCTTATAATTACATATTAAAAATGATTTTACTTTATTTTTATTTTTTTGGTAAACTGATTTTACTTTATTATCTAAACAAACTTTTGAAATAGTATTTCCAAACACAAATCAATTCTTTTAACATCAAATTTTTTTTTAAAGAAATTCTTTTGACATTAATTATATTAAAAGCAATATTTATAAAATCAAAGTCAAAGAGACTTTTAGTCTCTGAAATATAAATGACATCAACTTATGTACCAAAATAAAAAATGACATCTACCTAATCCTTGAAATATGGACAGTGACATCAATTTATATATTTTTTTTAAAATTGACATCTAAAGGATCAGGTCGAATATTGTGGCAAAAAAATTTATTTATTGTAATTTAATTAAATAATTACGTATTTATTGCAGTTTGAAAGGTATTTACAGATCTATTGCACAATGTGACGCTTTTTTTGAGCGTCACATGTGACACCTCATTTAGGCTTCTCTCACCAAGGGAAGACGCCTCAATGGGGCGTCTCTCATGAGGTGTTGACACGTGTCATTTCTCTCTCCAAAAATAATAATAATTTAATCATAAAACTTCTGAAGGCCATAACTTTTGACTCGGGTATCCAATTCAGGTAATTCTTTTTTTGATTCCACATAACTTTTCGAGATCTACGTAATGACATCTCATTTGATATATTTTATTTCTTACAAACATAATTTAAATTTGCAAGAATGGTACTATACGAGCGTTTAAACCTAAAAGTCTCTTAGTTCTTTTCGAATCAACACCAAACACACCAAAACCAAGTGTTTGAAAAAGAATAGTGTACAATGTTATTGAACCGAAATCCGTATTGTATATCATTTGGTTGATTTTTCGTATCTTGAATCATACGGTATCATAAGTTACATCCTTCTATTTTATGACTTTTTTCTTTAAAGCCATTTAAATTATAGCTTCTGAATGGTTTTCAAAAATAAAATCCTTCTCACTTGGAGATTTATAATATTTATTTAATTATTTTTTTATTATACAGATTTTTCAAATTGATTTTTGAGTTTAAGTCACAAATTAAATCTTTATTTTGTTTTCCTTATTAATGATAATTTTTTAGATTTTTTTAAATTTAAATCACAACCCAAAACTTTATTTATTTTTTATATTAAAAATTAAAAAATGTGATTTTTTTTAAATTTAAATCACAAACTAAATCTTTATTTTTTTATATTAAATCACAAATCTAATACTCAGAGGCTTGTGGATTTAAACGCTCTTATAATACCATTCTTGCAAATTTAAATTATGTTTGTGAGAAAAAAATATATGAAATGAGATGTCATTGCGTAGATCTCGAAAAGTTATGTGGAATCAAAAAAATAATTACCTGAATTGGATTATTTTTTTATATTAAATCACAAATCTAGTACTCAGAGGCTTGTGGATTTAAACGCTCTTATAATACCATTCTTGCAAATTTAAATTATGTTTGTGAGAAAAAAAATATATGAAATGAGATGTCATTGCGTAGATCTCGAAAAGTTATGTGGAATCAAAAAAAGAATTACCTGAATTGGATTATTTTTTTATATTAAATCACAAATCTAGTACTCAGAGGCTTGTGGATTTAAACGCTCTTATAATACCATTCTTGCAAATTTAAATTATGTTTGTGAGAAAAAATATATATCAAATGAGATGTCATTGCGTAGATCTCGAAAAGTTATGTGGAATCAAAAAAAGAATTACCTGAATTGGATTATTTTTTTATATTAAATCACAAATCTAGTACTCAGAGGCTTGTGGATTTAAACGCTCTGATAATACTATTCTTGCAAATTTAAATTATGTTTGTGAGAAATAAAATATATCAAATGAGATGTCATTGCGTAGATCTCGAAAAGTTATGTGGAATCAAAAAAAGAATTACCTGAATTGGATACCCGAGTCAAAAGTTATGACCTTCAGAAGTTTTATGATTAAATTATTATTTTTTTGGAGAGAGAAATGACACGTGTCAATACCTCATGAGAGACGCCCCATTGGGGCGTCTTCCCTTGGTGAGAGACGCCTAAATGAGGCGTCACATGTGACGCCCAAAAAAGACGTCACATTGTGCAATAGATCCGTAATTATTTCCAAAATTGCAATAAATATATAATTATTTAATTAAATTACAATAAATAAATTTTTTTGCCCGAATATTGTGCAAAATTATACGGCTATTAGAGTTGTATTCTTTACCACTACTCTATCTCACATCTTATTAGAGTAAAACCATAGAGTATAAATTGTACAAAACATTCTATCCAAAAAAATAAAATAAAATGTACAAAA